TACTTGGAGGGTCATGGGGGCATAGTAAGCAGGTCAACAAGGCTAAACCCTATCCCGGGTTAGCAGAAACTACCCAAGGCTGCCTTGAGTCAAAAACAAGTGCGGAACCCCCAAGACCATGAAGAATACTGTCTCTTTTGTAATTATTTTGTGCATTTTTTTGGGATCCTGGGCTATTATTGTATTTGCTTTTGGGGTCCAGGTAGCGCGGGGTATTTGCTTGCTGAGATTTTGTGGCAAGAAGTGATTTGACTAAGGTATGCCCACTGGAGCTGAGTGGCTGAAGACATCTTGAATTGAAAGTGTGGCATTTGAAGCTCCAGGCCCGTCCTGAATTGGGGTTGCCCGCAACACCCAAACCCTAAATAGAGGGTAATTAGAGGGTCGGGGATTATGGTGCTCAGGCGAAGCTTGTGGAACATCACCGAGGCCTCACTACTCTCCACGGCGCCTCCCGGCGGCGAGAGATGACAGGCTTTAGGGTCTAGGGGCTTGATTCCGAAGCAAACACCTAGGTATCATGAAGGGATGATGGAAAGAAAATGCATGAAATGGACGCTGTGACTTGGGGATGGAGCTGAGGGCGCTTAGCACAGGGCGCTCTGCATTCGAGAAGAGCTGTAGGAGTAGCGCTGCAAACCAAAGACAAAGAAAGCAACGGCGATTAAAGGGTTTGAGCCCGGGATCTAGACTAGACGACAGGCTGAGGTTGCAGCTTCACCGACCCTGAGCCTTTGGGGTTTGCAGTTTAGACTGAGTCTTGAATGGCACAATTTGTCAACTTAGAGGACTCGGCATGTAGGGGAGGAAGGAGTCTTGCATCCTCCAGGGCGTGCGTGTAACTTGTCCTCTACCAAATTGTTTCGTCTTTTGTTCATGAGGTTGGTGATGACGTCACTGGCGAGTTGTCTCACAGCTAACGACTCGCATTGGGCCAATTCAGCGCCTTGGCATTGTGTTGGCTGCGAGAATGGCTGGTGACAGTTGATGGGTTTGCAGTAATTGTATGGTAGCATGTGGACGAACTACGGTTTAAGTATTGGTTGGTTTTTGGCTTTTGGGTGTCGCGGTTCATGGAACATGGGCTGCAGGGATTTTTGGAGGCTTGGGATTTGACCGTTGTAACTTTCAGTTAGGGATGTTGGGAAGGAGTTCACACAGGGCTGAGTTTAGGGGCCGTGGCTTTGCAAGACACAAAAACTGAAAAGAATTTGGGGTCTGGAGTTAGAAATGCTGAAGGGTGGGTGGGTTCGTACTCCAGCGACATAACAACAACATCACTGAAACGCTCAACGTTTCAAACTCAAGATCAAAGCAGGAACTCAAAAATTCCAAGGATGCGAACAACCTTTTGCCTTTCCCTGTTTCCGCAAAGCTGTCCAAGTGTTCATGCTTGAGTCTGTGCGAGCACATGTCAGGTACCTACTACAACATCTGTCATTGGTCCGCGGCAGATATATTGTCCCCACAGCCAATGAAAGTAAATGTGGTTATACTGGCAAATCCTTCCTGGAAGCGTTACAGCCTTCCAGTTGCAAGGTTCACACGAATCTGTACGTGATTCCTTTCTCTGAATTCCTTAGACTTTGAGCTCCTACAACCCTGCAACAACCGTCAGAGCCATGGCAACCTGCGTTTGGGCTACTGGCGGCACGCAATTCCGATTCCGGACACCGGACCCGCAGACAGAGAAGGGGTCAGGAGGAAAGCAGAAGCTTCTTGGATTGCCTCTGTGGCGCTAGACTTGCCTTTTAGATTCTAGATTCAGGGGTTTTGAGGCGGACCGGTCTCCATGTGGAGTAAGTTACCCATAGCTTTTCACGTCTCGGAGCAGAGACAGTTGTTGCATCGAAGCCTAGCATGTGTTTCTACTGGTGCAGTTCTAAATCTAAATTTGTTGCAATGTCTCGCGTGCGTCTTTCAAGAGCCCACCTTCGGAATGACTTCACTTTCCATCCTTTTCCAGGTTCACGTTTCTCTTCGCCACGGATCCGCCGAACGTCGTGGAGCACTACGATGGTTGCTTTGCAGCGATGAGAGACCGGTTCCCAGACAGCGAGATGCTCGTCTTCGAGCTCCTCAGAAGAAAGGAAGATCTTTGAGTGGTGTAGATGGCCTCATACTTTAGTGTGGTTTTGGTGTTAAGTATGACTTTCTTCCATGGTCCGGAAGATAAATGTGCGACTGCACCCATGAGGGGGTGTCTTGTGTGGGGGAACCAAATCATTTCAGCTCAGCATTAGAAAGCAGACAGGCTTCCTGGATTTGGCATGTCACACTCACAGCGGTCTTCGATCGACGATCTGGCGCAAGACTTGACAAACTTTATCCTCAAAGTCAAGCAGGACCACTCTGAATCGGACATGGTTCTAGTCATGCCCTGTGTCAGTGCTCTCTTTTGCCCTTTGGTACTTCCTAACCTTCCACTGGGCACTGTGGAGCACCTGGTGGTGGTGCAGTGCGCGGACTACGCAGGAGAGCTGCGCTGGGCCAATGGCGTCAATTCTGGGGGAATGCTGTCACTTCCCGGCCTGGCCCGGCTGTACAACTACCTGAATGCCAAGGCAATCAGCGCCAACTGGTACAAAGCCACTTTCCCAAAGCGCGGAAGCTACCATGAGTGCTGTGGATGCAAGACTGCAACATCGCAGCTGGAGACAGATGTTGATCAAGGGGCCTTGCAAGCGCGATCCTGGTTCTCCTCCGTCGCAGCAAGGGCTTTCGATAAGGGTGCCCGATTTCCTCTTGCTTGGTGTTTGCAGCGGCTATTCTATGCACCACCCCCTGCATCAAAGCTCGTTCGCGTTCTGCGAGAGGGTAGAGGAACGATTCAAATCAACACCTTGATGATTTGGGGCATGCAGGATGGAACTCATCGTGCGAACCTTGCAGATGAGAAAGATGCACCTTCTTTCGCTCGTTATGTTTCTGCGCCCCTGGTGCAGCACAGGTGCTTCTCAGACTCTGCTCACTTTCCCGAGCTTCAACACCCTCAACAGTTTGCATCTGCGGTTTACGACTTCGTTCAGCGATCTGAGAGATCTCCTGCTTGTGCTGGCAAAGGCTCAGGTGGCAGACAGCCACCAGTTAGAGCTGCAAGCAGATTGTAGATAGAAGGCGTGCGCGTTGTAGTGGGAAGTTAAAGCTTACTGGTTCTGGTGGTTCATTGTCTCACGCAGTGACATGTTGCAGAAAGATGATGGAGCACTGTTTTTCCATTCCCATAGTGTGATTCGGCGGTTCTTGTAAGCTATTCTCGGAGCTCCTCCATGGAATTTTGGGCTTGGGCTTGGGATGTCAGCGGGCTGATACCATCCCGTCGAGTTCCTGGTTGAGCGGCAAGGATAGCTTCGCTAGCTGCATGTATGGTGTCAACGGAGGTGCAGGCGTAGGTTGTGAAACCCGCCTCTGCCTTCACAGTGCTTCAATTGTCCCTGGAAATCCAGAAGCCGCAAACCCCCAAGCATCGCAATCTGTAGGCCCAAGATTCCTAGCCCCAAACACCTACGCAGGATCTTCAACCTACCAACCTAAAGCCCCAGATGCTAGAGGTCCACACACAACTCATGTTGTTCTCCTGCGTCGCATTACTGGCTGCTGTAGCCACCCTCGTGATTGCACTGCTGCCCCCTGGCTTTGCTTGGGTTTAAATTTAGTATTCAGGCTTAGGGTTGAAGACTCATGCGGGGATATCCCGAAATCAGCATTCGGACCTGGGCGAAACCCGCATGAAATGTAGGCTCCCGGCATTTAGCGGTACCCAATATGCCAATTTCCACGACTGAGTTTTATGCCAAACTCTTGTGGGGTCGCGTCTCATAATTACAGGTTCTTTGCTGTTTGGCTTGTAGCTAGCACATGTTAGCACGATCATGTTTGAGGTGTAGGTGAAAGAACCGAATCTTGAGAAATGCGCTTTCATGCATTGATGTGAGGGTGGCATATCACGCATAAGTTCAGGGCTTGAAGAGGTGTATTTTGGTGTGGTACAAGTGTGGTGATATGCTACAAGTAATCGGGATATGTGGGTTTGGTTGATTCAGGGCTTGGTAAGAGGATGCCAGGGTTTCCTCGGGCTACAACTCCAGCAGGGCTCATGTGCAAAGCTACTATGTACACACATACATACGGACTTACATACTCATGCACGCATCAAACCCTAAACCCTAAACCCAACTCGCCCAGAAGGTCCATAGTAACCATGACAGAATTGCGGTTGGTTGGTGCAGGGCCCCGTTAAAGGGCCGTTAGGGGGTTACAAGGAAGGTTATATATAGGGTGGGGTTCGAAGTCCATTTGGTTGGGATGCAGGTTCAGGGTTTAGGGCATCCGCTGTGGGATTGAGATTTCATGCGACCCATGCAGCTATGGGCGGCTACTGGGGTTTGCATCCTCCCCGGGTAGTCTTGGAGCAGCTCAGTCTATGCTTTGACATTGCATCAAATTGACACTCTACTGAGTGCGTTCAAAAGTCGGAGGAGGGGACAATGATTTAGGTCTAGGGCTTGGGCTTGCTGGAGGAGCAGAAGCCAACAAGACTTACAAAACATTGCGTTTGCTGCTTGGATCTCCTGGGATCCAAGAGCAGAATGGAGGCTTCAAACCATGCGTCCAGCACGGATGCTGTCTAGGGTTTCGGGTTGGGGTGCTAGGGTTTAGGGTTTCAATTTGGGAGGCCCCCAGCACGACCGTGCAAACTCCGGCTGAGGTGCATCATTGAGCTTCGTCGGCAGAGGCCAGAGGCCCTTTTTTTGAGTTGCTATGGCTCAAGGACTTGTGGTTAGGCATTTGACAACATTCTGGGTTTCTGTATCAAGGCACTCCCAACGAGCATGTGTTATTGAATCTGCTGGGTTTGCTTCAGGGACATCGACGTCCAGGCACAAGACAGCCCAAAAGGGACGGTATGTCTGTCATGCAGGTTGTTAAATTACCTACCGGCTGTGTTATTTGAGCAGCACGTCGTTTGATCCTGGTGACAGAAACTATGGGTGAAAGGATCCTGCTGCACAAAACTTTCGAGCCCTGTAGCGGAGGAACCTCTCATTCCATCGAATCCCTGGCTTTAAAGTTAGCACCGATCGGCTTTCAATTTCTTAATTGGGAACAGGTAGAGCTCCTACGTACGCATGACTTGACATGTTCAAAAACTCGGAAAGAAATCCTACTGAAGACATCCAGCACAGCGTTGATGATGGGCCCTAGGACTTTACTAATTACAGCTGAAAATCCAGCTCCAGACAGGTCCAGCCCTGTCGCGTATACCGCCGAGAGCAAGAGCTGAGCTCCTCCGAAGTGACCTGGGCTTGGGGCTAAATCTGATTATATCTAATATGTTTGTTGTTACTATTTTGCTGTTACCCTGAATAGTGGGTAGTTAGGCCTAAATAGAGGCTAAGTGGAGGTCTAGATTATTGGAAGGACCGCAGCAAAGTTTCTAGAGCCCACCCATGACATTCTGGACAAGACATAACTTGTATTGTGGCTCTAGCTTGGTGTTTATGGGCAAGATTTGATTGCCATGGTGCAAAGAGGACCAGGGTTTGCAAGGCTAAGCCCCTATCCCCAGAATTCATTTCCATGTCTCCGATGCCCCAAACCCAAACCAGACATCCGCGTTTGAGCGATTTGTGCAGCAAAACAGCTCGCCTGCCTTGTGCAAAGTGGTGTTTGATGTTGTGGGTTGGGTCTGAGCGAGGGTCGGCAAGGTCGCCTAACTCCTTTTTCGGATCCTTGAGGCTCTGTGCTGTCTGGGTTCGGAATATGTGTCGGGGTCTAGAACTGACCATAGGTACTTTGCTCTTGGCCCACAATGTTTGTTTGGGCGTGTTTGGACCTACCCCCATTAGTAAGTAAGTCTCTTTCTGAATAAGCTGAGTTGGTCGCTCCGCATTCGGATCGCCAGCAACAAAGGGATCCCCGGAACCCCTCAGTTTGATTGCATGCTTTTGAATATGGATTGCCTGTTTGTGCTTTGCGGGGGAACCGCAAGTCAGGATCCCACATTTCTTTTGAATAGATCCCAAAGGACTATGTTTTTTGCGAGCTGCAGGAAGCAGCATATTTCGGGCATTCTTGCAATCCTCCAAACCATTTGCATACGTAGTTGGTAATTGGACCGCTGAAAGAAACCCATCACTTAGAGAAAAAAAACAGGTTGAATTCAGTCATCTCAAGTAGTCAACACGCCGCGGCGGAGGACGTAGATGCTCGTACCAAGGCGGACAGGCTTCTCAGCGCCTTTGTTTGCCAACATCGTGATGTACCAACACTCTTCGGAGCATTGGAATTCGGAATGCAAGGCAGAGGTGGTCTTGGAGATGGCTATATCTGTAGCCTTCTGCTTGTAGTGCGTGGGCGAAGAACATTCAAAAGTCCTGACTGGCCAGGCTCATAATCCGGGAGGGGGTGTGAGGTGTCAGATTTTCGGATGTGGAGTTGAGGCCTGGGGGTTTGGAGTATGGTTGTGAGTTACAGGTAGCAACGTGTCTGACCCCCAGTAGCTCCAGCAGTTCTTTGCCTCACGGCAATTCATTTCGGGCTTGGTTTGAAAAAAAGGCAGAGGGCACAAGGAAATTATGATCCTTGGTGCAAAGCAGGCAGTGAAGGATGATCGGTTCTGCAGCTGTCAATCAACATAGGCATACTCTGCAATCAGAGCTCCCACGCCAAACATAGTTTTGTGCCTTGAGATTTGGGAGGTCCGACCGCTTCCGCACGCTTTCAGACATTTCTGCCGACAGTAATTGTCATCGGAGGAAGGGGGAATGTAGCTTCTAGAGTGTATTGTGTAGTGTCGAACGCATTGCACTTTTAGACTTTTTGCAATAGAATGCTTGCAAGTGGCCAGCTTAACATCAGGCTGGGAGTTTCTCAACCTTGTCTGCACCTTGTCCCTGAGAGAACCCCGAAGATATCATTGTAGTCCACACCTCTTGGAACAATGCATTCCCTTTGGGGACCTAATGTCAAATCTAGTATCTCGTCACTCGTAGCGGAAGGTGATGAAATCACACATATTCCCTGGAAACTCTTCAGCCTGCTATATGCCTGGGGTCCCTAAACACCGAACCATACATGCCATAGGGTCTCCATGATACCTGAGCTCCAAGAATCTCCCAACCCAGGTGCCGGCTTCGATCTCCCGCAGGCAGACTGCCGACGGTTTTGCCGCTACTTCTTTAACCTTGGGCTTCCAGGAAAAGGTGTACGACTACTGTTACGTCTAGTTATAAAGAAAATGATCATACTGCTCAAGCTATTGCTACTATCCCTCCTGCTGCTTGTTCTGCATTTCCTTCTTATTTGCGGTTGTACCATCTCGACAGTCAACAGCCTCGACGCATCACATATTCCCTGACTTGTTCAGGTTAAGTCGGCTATCCAGGGCCTTGACATCTGCGTTCAGGCCGGAGCTAGCTGAAAGCAAGCCTTTTTCGGTGCCTGGTGTATCCAGACAGGAACTGCGCTATAGGATGCTATAGGGATGCGGGGGGATTGCAGGGCATAGTCGGGTTTTCAGTGAGGAATTGCAGACTTGAAGAGTCCAAAGTTCTAAGAAGACGATGCGTTCGAGGCGTCTAGACAACAAGGCTGCGCTGTGCTGCGAGTTCCTTATTTGAGCATGCGTATATACTTTGGCGGGTTCATCGTTGGCGAGGTGCGGCGGTAAACGCCGCCGATTGTCAAAATCAGTTGGGCGTATTGATGTGTCTGATCATACAGCTTTGTATTCAGCAGAGACAAGCTTGATCTTAATTGTTTCACCTATGTATGAGCCTTCAGGGTGGCAGCCGGATCTGAAGACAGTAGGAGAGCCCCTTTTCCGTCGTTTAAACGGATACTGTGAACACCGACTGTCCTGCTGGATCCTGGCGGAGGTGAGTTTCCTGGCAAAGCTTCAAGCGTGGCGGGCCAAGCAATGATGTCTATCTTCAGAATCAAGGGCTCAGGCCGCAGGATTTGGGTGTGCAAGTCCTCTTTGGATGCATGGCTGACTGAGCCTTCCAAGCTTTGGGATTAGGGTGTAAGCTACAGGGCTTCAGAGCTCGGAGTTGAGGGAGCTGGCGCTTTTCAAAACTTTGGATCCGTCTCTGCGGGTTGCGATCCT